TGTATTTTAGTAGAGACCGAGTTTCACCCTGAGGTCTCGAACTCCTGACCTCAAATGATCCACTGCCTCAGGCTCCCAAAGTGCTGGGATTACGGTCATAAGCCACTGTGCCTGGCCTAATTTTGGTATTTTTTAGTAGATAGTGGGGTTTTACCATGTTGGCCAGGCTTGTCTCAAACCCCTGACCTCAAGTGATCCGCCCACCTCAGCCTTCCAAAGTGCTGGGATTACAGGTGTGAGTCGCTGCTTGCCTGGGCAGTCAACTCCACTCTTCAACAGGCATGGATGCCTCATCAAACAGACAATTAATGTTTTGTGCTCAAAGAGGCTGTGAAGTAGATCAAGCCCTGTAAATCAGCCTCTGACTGGTATTCTGACAGCCAAGCTTTTAGCAAACTGACTCTTAACAGACACCTTCTGATGAACTGTTGCTAAGATCACCAGCTGCAAATGCTTACCTGGGATGACCTAGCCCTGTAATAATCTCCCCCACTTTCAGTCTCCTAAGCAGCAGATTGGGAAACTGGTCCCTGAAATTGCAGCTGCTAAAAGTGACACCTAATATTTGTGAACAAGTTGTACCTATACATTAAAATCCAACTTTGTTTTCTTTTTTTTTTTTGAGATGGAGTCTCGCTCTGTTGTCAGGCTGGAGTGCAGTGGTGCGATGTCGGCTCACTGCAATCTCTGCCTTACAGGTTCAAGTGATTCTTCTGTCTCAACCTCCTGAGTAGCTGGGACTACAGGTGCATGCGCCACCACACCCAGCTAATTTTTGTATTTTTAGTAGAGACAGGATTTCACCATGTTGGCCAGGATGGTCTCGATCTCCTGACCTCGTCATCCGCCTGCCTCAGCCTCCCAAATTTGGTGCTGGGATTACAGGCGTGAGCCACCGCACCTGGCTGTAAAATCAAATTTTTAACCAAGATTTCAGATTGATCTGTATGCCACGTTTATTCCACATCATTTCTCATTTATTCTAGACACAAATCTAGTGTTTTGTGCATAGCAAATAGTGATAAAGTGAATGGGAAAACTTTTTAAATCCTGGAGGTTTATTTATTTATTGAGACAGAGTTTAGCTCTTGTCGCCCAGGCTGGAGTACAGTGGCACAATCTCGGCTCACTGCAAACTCCGCCTCCTGGGTTCAAGTGATTCTCTTGCCTCAGGCTCCTGAGTAGCTGGGATTACAGGCGCCTGCCACCATGTCCAGCTACTTTTTGTATTTTTAGTAGAGAAAGGGTTTCACCATGTTAACCAGGCTGTTCTTGAACTCCTGACCTCAGGCAATCCGCCCTCCTCGGCCTCCCAAAGCACTGGGATTACAGGCATGAGCCACTGCACCCGGCCAGGTCTATTTATTTTTAAAGGACCTTAGGAATCACCCTGCTCAGGGTTCTCAACCTGGAGCCCAGAATAGGTGTCAGCAAAGTCTGTGGATGTCCTGAGGTTCTTTTACAGCATTTAAGTACGTATCTCCTTGCACATTTTTCTGTAAAAGATTCATTAGCTTTCTTTGTATTCTCAGAGGGGTCTGTGTTCTAGTTTAATATACTTACATTACCAGATGAGGATGCTAAAGTTAATGAAATCAAATGGATTCTCTGATAGCACACAGTAAGAATTCACTAGGAATTGGCCGGGCATGGTGGCTCATACCTGTAATCCCAGCACTGTGGGAGGCCGAGGTGGGCGGATCATGAGGTCAGGAGATCCAGACCATCCTGGCTAATACAGTGAAACCCCGTCTCTACTGAAAATACAAAAAATTAGCTGGGTGTGGTGGGGAGCGCCTGTAGTCCCAGTTGAGGCAGGAGAACCTGGGAGGCGGAGCTTACAGTGAGCTGAGATTACACCACTGCACTCCAGCCTGGGGGACAGAGTGTGAGACTGTTTAAAAAAAAAAAAAAAATTCACTAGGAATTTATGTTATAAGCAAATATTGGCTGGAGGCAGTGGCTCATGCCTATAATCCCAGCACTTGGATGGCTAAGGCAGGAGGACCCCTTAAGGCCAGGAGTTCAAGACCAGCCTGAGCAAAATAGTGAGGACCCCCCCCCATCTCTACAAAAATAAAAATAAAGGCCAAGCGCAGTGGCTCATGCCTGTAATCCCAGCACTTTGGGAGGCCGAGGCGGGCGGCTTACTTTAGGTCAGGAGTTCGAGACCAGCCTGGCCAACATGGTGAAACCCTGTCTCTACTAAAAATACAAAAATCAACCAGGCATGGTGGCAGGCACCTGTAGTCTTAGCTACTCAGGAGGTTGAGGCAGGAGAATCACTTGAACCCAGGAGGCAGAGGTTGCAGTGAGCTGAGATTGATTGCACCATTGCACTCTAGCCTGGGTAACAGAGTGAGACTCTGTCTCAAAAATAAAAATAAAAATAAATAAAAATTAACTGGGCATAGTGACATGTATCTGTAGTCCCAGCTACTCCCAGCTACTTGAGAAACAGAGGCTAGAGGATCACTTGAGCCTAAGAGTTCAAGGCTGTAGTGAGCCATGATAGTACTACTATACTCCAGCCTGGGCCAGTATCCTCAGGACTATTAAGGACATGAAGAAGGAAGACTGAGAAACTGTTCCAGACCAGAACAGACTAAAGCAACATGACAGTTTTTTTGTTTTGTTTTGTTTTGTTTGAGACGGAGTCTCACTCTGTCCCCCTGGCTGGAGTGCAGTGGCCAGATCTCAGCTCACTGCAAGCTCCGCCTCCCGGGTTCAGGCCATTCTCCTGCCTCAGCCTCCCGAGTAGCTGGGACTACAGGCGCCCGCCACCTCGCCCGGCTAGTTTTTTTGTATTTTTTAGTAGAGACGGGGTTTCACTGTGTTAGCCAGGATGGTCTCGATCTCCTGACCTCGTGATCCACCTGTCTCAGAACATGACAGTTAAATGCACTATAGTATCCTGGATGGGATGCAGGAACAAAAAGAGGACATTAGTGGAAAAATCGATGAACTCCAAATAAAGTCTGGAGTTAATAATAATGTACCAATATTGGTTTCTTAGTTTTGGCAAATGTACCATGGTAATGTGAGATGCTAACATTGGCCATCTTTGCAACTTTACTATAAATCTAAAATTTCAAACGTTAAAATTTCATTTAAGAACTATTATTCATCTTAGTTTTTTGCACTGATTCTCACAGATATTATACAATGTGAATACGATTTTGTCAGCTGAGCCAGACCAGCCAGCTCTGGTGGTCATGATGAAAGAAGGACTGGCCATTCATCAATATTATGCTCACTTGCATTGATTTTTCCAAAACCTATGTTGAGTGTAAGAGAAACAAACACGAGATTCAATACAACTGAGTTAGACATAATAGCACAAGCATGAACCCCTGAATGAGGAGGATGAGTTAGGGGTGTCATGGATCCATGCATATGCTTGGCCTTTGAACCGCAGCCCACCTCTGACACAAAGCCATGCAGTGACTTTGGGTATCATCTTTTCTTTTTTCTTTTTTTTTTTTTTTGGGACAGAGTCTTGCTCTGTCACCCAGGCTGGAGTGCAGTGGCACAATCTTGGCTTACTATAACCTCCGCCTCCCGGGCTCAAGAGATTCTCTTCCCTTAGTTGGAGTATAGTGACGCCATCACAGCTCACTGCGACCTCCACCTCCCGGGTTCAAGCAATTCTCCTGCCTCAGCCTTCTGAGTAGCTGGGATTATAGGTGTGCACCACCATGCCCAGTTAATTTTTGTATTTTTAGTAGAGCCAAGGATTCACCATATTGGCCAGGCTGGTCTTGATCTCCTAACCTCAAATGATCCGCCTGCCTGGCCTCCCAAAGTGCTGGGATTACAAGCACGAGCCACCGCGCCCTTCTAAACTTTAACCTGCTTGACCTTAAAATAAGGATAACACGCTTGATACGGTGGCTCATGCCCGTAATCCCAACACTTTGGGAGGCCAAGGCAGGATGATCACTTCAGCCTAAGTGTTCAAGACCAGCCGGCAATATAGTGAAACCTCATCTTTGCAAAAAGTTAAAAAATTAGCTGGGCATGATAGTGCATGCCTATAATCCTAGCTATTCAGGAGGCTGAGGTGGGATCACTTGAGTACAGAGGAAGATGCTGCAGTAAGCTGAGATTGCACCACTGCACTCCAGCCTGGGTGCAGAGTGAGGCCCTATCTCAAAAATAAAGGATAACAGAAGTACCTGCCTCAAACAGTTGTGAGAATTGCTCAGGATAGGACCTTACAGAGCTTGTTATAGGGCCTAGACGAATTTGATAAATTGATATCACTACTATTTCCACCACTAAGGAAAGAAAAGCTTTACTATAGATCTTGTCTCCATTGCCCATAAAATAAAGCCGAAATTCCTTAGCATGACGTCTAAAGCCAATTATATCATATGTGAGTAGCTTAATTTCCAGCAACTATTCTTCCCACGCCCTGAACTGCAGCCCCAGTGAACTTCCCAGAGCTTTCATACCCATTTTCTCTGCCTCAGTCGTCCCTGTAGCTCATTCTTCATGACCTCACATCAGTGCCCCTTCTCTGGGAAGCAGTTCTTCACTCTCCTGTGACGTTCCTTGTCCCTCCCTTCTGTACACCCATGGAAGCAGAGCTCTCCCAGTTATAACTCATCACCTTGTACTGCTGTTGTTTACCTACCTCGCACCTTTGCTAGGTATAAAAATCAGAAGATCAGAAGTCCTTACTACTTCATCTCCCCATTCTTCTGGTGCTTGACACGTCGTTGTTACCCAGCAAAATGGATGAATAAATTGAATGAATATAAACAGAAGTACTGCAGTTGCTCAGAATTGTTTTGGAGAATAACTGATGAAAATTTATCGTTGGTTTTTATTTATTAAAACCTCAATTAGTTCATAGGAATGAAGACTGATATTATCAGATGATACTTACTACTACTTTATTTACTGTTTATCTATAAAACATTTAATATAATTCTTTGAGAAATTTGATCTTGCCTTTCTGGGTGTTTGTTTGTTTGTTTGTTTTTGTCTTCAAGGTTCCAGTTACAGCCATCTCTTGTCAAAATTTTTGAACTATATTTGGAAAACTACTGGCCAGGAAAGAAAAATGATAAAATTTTTCCTCATGGTGAATAAACAAGGGCAGACTCGACTTTCTAAGTACTATGAACATGTGGATATTAATAAGCGTACACTTCTGGAAACAGAAGTTATAAAGAGCTGTCTCTCTCGGTCCAATGAACAAGTAAGTCTCTGGTCCTCTCCTTTATCTCTGCATTCAACTCGGCCTTGGTAGATTTGTTATTACTGAGTCTCAGGGGCCATCATTTTCTTTGATCTATATTCCTTCAACAGCTACTAAGGAAAATAAGAAGTGATGTGAAATGAAAAACTGAAAGAAGCATAGCTCTCTTTACATCCCTTTAAGAAAATTAAACCAGGCCGGGCGCGGTGGCTCAAGCCTGTAATCCCAGCACTTTGGGAGGCCGAGGCGGCTGGATCACGAGGTCAGGAGATCGAGACCATCCTGGCTAACATGGTGAAACCCCGTCTCTACTAAAAATACAAAAAACTAGCCGGGCGTGGTGGCGGGCGCCTGTAGTCTCAGCTACTCGGAGGCTGAGGCGGGAGAAAGGCGTGAACCCGGGAGGTGGAGCTTGCAGTGAGCCGAGATCGCGCCACTGCACTCCAGCCTGGGCGACAGAGCGAGACTCCGTCTCAAAAAAAAAAAAAAAAAAAAAGAAAATTAAACCAAGGAAAACCTGGAAGAATCTTGGATTCTTGGCCGGGCGCGGTGGCTCAAGCCTGTAATCCCAGCACTTTGGGAGGCCGAGACGGGCAGATCACGAGGGCAGGAGATCGAGACCATCCTGGCTAAGATGGTGAAACCCCGTCTCTACTAAAAAATACAAAAAAACTAGCCGGGCAAGGTGGCGGGCGCCTGTAGTCCCAGCTACTCGGGAGGCTGAGGCAGGAGAATGGCGTGAACCCGGGAGGCGGAGCTTGCAATGAGCTGAGATCCAGCCACTGCACTCCAGCCTGGGCGACAGAGCAAGACTCCGTCTCAAAAAAAAAAAAAAAAAAAGAATCTTGGGTTCTTATTTAAGTCAGCATGTTTGTCTCGATGCACCTTGGAAACGACAATAAAATTTCCTTCTGCTAATAGACACCTCTTCTTTTTTTGTTCTTATGAATTCAGCCCCTGAAACTCTCATGAGTGCCTGTAGCAGGTAGCTTTCTATAAGCCAAAAAATGAAGATCAGATGATTGGTATAGAGGTAAATACTGAAGACCCATTTTGTGCCAGAGGATAATGTTATTCTCAAATGGGGTGGTTTTATTCTGCTTATTATTTTTGTAAATATACCACCAATATAATGCTGAAACCAGTGATTTAAAAACAAAACAAGTTTGATTTCATTATCTAGGTGGGGAAAATGGAAATTAAAAATTCATATGAAACAACACATTTATCCATCTTCCAAAATGGAGATTAAGGCTGGGTGCAATGGCTCACGCCTGTAATCCCAGCACTGTGGGAGGCAGAAGCGGGTGGATCACCAGAGATAAGGAGTTCGAGACCAGCCTGGCCAATATGGTGAAAAATTAGCTGGGCGTAATTATGCACAACTGTAGTCCCAGCTACTGGGGAGGCCGAGTCAGGAAAATTGTTTGAACATGGGAGGTGGAGGTTGCAGTCAGCCAAGACTGCTTCATTACACTCCAGCCTGAACGACAAGAGCAAAACTCTGTCTCAAAAAAAAAAAAAAAAAGGTTAAATAGGAATTTTAAAACTGAGTCCATTTTTTTTTGTTTTGTTTTTTGAGATGGAGTCTTCCTTTGTCGCCCAGGCTGGAGTGCAGTGGCGCCATCGTGGCTCACTGCAATCTCCGCCTCCGAGGTTCAAGCGATCCTCCTGCCTCAGCCTCCTGAGTAGCTGGGATTCCAGGTGCGTGCCACCACACCTGGCTAATTTTTGTATTTTTAGTAGAGATGGGTTTTCACCATGTTGGTCATGCTGGTCTCAAACTCCTGACCTCAAGTGATCTGCCTGCCTTGATGCTGGGATTACAGGGATGAGCCACTCCTAAAGTGCTGGGATTACACGCATGAGCCACTGCGCCTGGCCAAAAACCGAGTCCATTTTGTAAATAATTTTTTCCCTAGCTCATACCTTGAACAAAATTTTTTTTTTTTTTTTTTTTTTTGAGACAGAGTTTTGCTCTTGCCCAGGCTGGAGTGCAACGGCATGATCTCGGCTCACTGCAACCTCTGCCTCCCGGGTTCAAGTAATTCTTCTGCCTCAGCCTCCCAGGTAGCTGAGATTACAGGCATGTGCCACCACGACCGGCTAATTTTGTGTTTTTTTTTTTTTTTTTTTTTTTTTGAGACGGAGTCTCGCTCTGTCACCCAGGCTGGAGTGCAGTGGCCGGACCTCAGCTCACTGCAAGCTCCGCCTCCCGGGTTTACGCCATTCTCCTGCCTCAGCCTCCCGAGTAGCTGAGACTACAAGCGCCCGCCACCTCGCCCGGCTAGTTTTTTTTTTGTATTTTTTAGTAGAGACGGGGTTTCACGGTGTTCGCCAGGATGGTCTCGATCTCCTGACCTCGTGATCCGCCCGTCTCGGCCTCCCAAAGTGCTGGGATTACAGGCTTGAGCCACCGCGCCCGGCTAATTTTGTATTTTTAGTAGAGACGAGGTTTCTCCATGTTGGTCAGGCTGGTCTTGAAATCCCGACCTCAAGTGATCCACCCGCCTCAGCCTCCTAAAATGCTGGGATTACAGGCGTGAGCCACCACGCCCAGCCCCTTGAACAAAATTTTTATGAAGAATTTTATTTAGAGAATTACTTAATCCAGGTCCTAAACTTGCCAGATCTATTGGAAATTACTCAACAACTGAGGGAAAATCAGAAAACTTGTTTAACTCATGCATTTTAATCTTGTCAGTTCTCCATTTCACTGCATAGTGGGCTGCCTGTGAGCACCACTGCTAAATCATAAAATATTAAGCTACATCAGTGCTCAAAAGTAACATGGCACAAACTGGCATCTAAACTGATTTTTCAGTTAGGACATCTCAGAGTTCCTCTTTGAATTACTACTTTGGCCTGCCATGGCACACACTGTTTCATGTTGTCAGATGGAAACAGAAACTTTTAAAGGGCTGTGTTAATAGCCACATACTTTAAGTAAAAGTAAATAGTCTTAGAAGCATTCCTGTTTGAACCTTTCTGCAGAATGCAGGCACTCAATTTCAAACATCATTTTCACTGATAGGTTACCCTTTGAAACGAAAGCTTTGGAATGAATATACTGTTAGATACTTTTGATGCATTCTAAATTATTTTAGATTTTAAAAGGAGTCCACTGGGCTTTTGGCATAATCAGGCACCAACGTAGCATAATAGCAGCTTAGTTTTTATCCATAGAGGTGCTTTGATACTTTTTTTTTAATGTCAGAAACTCCTGAGAGGCTTTGAAAAATGTTCCTCAGTTCTTTCAAAAAGGTTGTGTTTCCTTGAAAGATCCAGCTGAGCAGAGATCACACTGGCTCTACAGTGAGCCAAAAGCTGCAGAATGCTTCTGTACTCATTACCTTTATCCTAATTTTAAATAAAAACCTAAATTCCTCCATTTTATAGACTGTCAGATGGCTTTCCCATAGAGGCATTTCCATGGTCAAAACTTGCAGCTTCATTCCCAGGTACATCCGAGCACCCAAGAGCAACACATCCAGCACACCCTAAAATCCAGAAGAAGAGTAACCCTGTGCTTCTGTCCACTCTCCACCTCCCATCCACTCAGCGCCTTCCCATAATTCTTTGTACAAAGGCGATAGGAAAGGGATAAATGAGACGGAAGTTTTATCCATGTGTCAGTGGTGGCAGGCTAGTTATTAATTCATACGAAGCAATGTTTACAATGCGAGATTTTGTCTAGCATCTGCCACAAAAAGGCCATCTTTAAATGATTTATAAAATAATCTACATGGATTCTTTTCATGAGTCTAGGACAAAGCAACCAATTTTTGTTTGTTTGTACCATGTATTTGGCTCCTCAATGACTATTAAATAGTACAAAACCGAGAATATCTAATTGCTTCCAAAAAAGTCTTGGCGGGGGGCCGGGCGCGGTGGCTCAAGCCTGTAATCCCAGCACTTTGGGAGGCTGAGACGGGAGGATCACGAGATCAAGAGATCGAGACCATCCTGCTAACACGGTGAAACCCCGTCTCTACTAAAAAAAAAAAAAAAAAACTAGCCGGGCGAGGTGGCGGCCGCCTGTAGTCCCAGCTACTCCGGAGGCTGAGGCAGGAGAATGGAGTGAACCCGGGAGGCGGAGCTTGCAGTGAGCTGAGATCCGGCCACTGCACTCCAGCCTGGGCGACAGAGCAACACTCTGTCTCAAAAAAAAAAAAAAAAAAGTCTTGGGGAGGTGAGGAGAAGAAAGTCTTCTTTATCATGTTTGCTTATTTCCACTTCAGAGGCACTTTGCTGATTATTCATTATCTTTGCCTGCTGAGTTCCACACAGAGCCAAGCAAAGGAATGAGAAGGAGTGTAAGTGGGAACCCATGTGAACACTCAGACTTTTTTTCAAGACTTCTCCAATTTCCACTAGAGATGCTTCCAAGTGGTCCCCTGAATATTGTGAGAAGGCCACCAGTGGTTGTGTAACATCTTAATATTTTATATTTCTAGGAATGTTTGTCAGATGAATCAGAACCTAGAACTTATGCATGTCATTTTAAATAACTCTCTCTCAACAACAGGAGTTAATATCTCATTGTGTTTTGTCTAGTGCTCTTTCATTGAATATAAGGATTTTAAGCTGATATATCGGCAGTATGCAGCTCTCTTCATTGTGGTTGGAGTTAATGACACTGAGGTAAGATAATAGAAGAGCCCTTGGAAAATGCAATAATTTCTTTCTACTTGCCTCCCTAAGAATTATGCGTCTCTTGATTTTTTTTTTTTTTTTTTTTTGACGGAGTCTTGCCCTGTTGCCAGGCTGTAGTACAGTGGCACGATCTCAGCTCACTGCAACCTTAACCTCCCAGGTTCAAGCGATTCCCCAGCTTCAGCCTCCCAAGCAGCTGGGATTACAGGCACGTGCCACCACACCCGGCTAATTTTTTGTATTTAGGAGAGATGGGGTTTCGCCATGTTGGCCAAGATGGTCTTGATTTCCTGACCTCATGATCTGCCTCCCTCAGACTCCCAATTTATTTTTATTTTTATTTTTTTAAGAGACAGACTAGCGTGCAATGGCACAGTCATAGCTCACTGCAGCCTTCAATGCCTGGTTTCAAGCATCTTCCCATCTCAGCCACCTGACTAGCTGGGACTACAGGCCCACACTCCCAAGCCCAGCTAATTTTTTTGCTTTTATTTTTTTTAGAGAGGGGGTCTCACTGTGTTGCCCAGGTTGGTCTAGAACTCCTGACTTCAAGCGATCTTCCTGGCTTAGCCTCCCAAGTAGCTGGGAATACAGACACAAGCCACTGTGCCTGGCTAGGATCTTGGTTTCTAGCAAGGATGAGGAAAGTTGTGTGGAAGAGAAATATCTAGGATGTTTCTTGGATTAGATGAGGAGCTTGCAAAGTAGAGAAGCCCCAAACCACAGAATGCCTTTTTCTGTTGTAAGCAATACCAGTGCCCTGCCCTTGTTCTCTTGAACAATGAAGCAGCTCAGATAAGTATAGAGACCAACTGATTCTGGCATTAAACATGGGCTGATATATCAAAAGCCAGTGAAAACTATAAAGATGATTGTATTGTGATTACATCCCCTCAAATTTATTTAGTTCACCCCTTCACAAATGCCACTCCCAGATCAACAGCACTTATGGACATGGAATCCCTGAAAGGATGTTTTACATCTAGCTGAAATATTGATTCGTTGTTTTTTATCCATGAACCAAACTTTGAAGTGGTTTTCCCATCTCCACAGATAGAAAAATGATGGCATGAAGAACCTGAACAATTACTTAAGCCAATTTGTGGTAAAGTCAGGAAATGGAGCTAAGAACTCTAAATACTAGACACTAAGATTTTAATCTGGCTAGATTTATCATAGACTTCAAAAAAAAGATTCTTTTGGAGACAGAGTCTCACGTTGTCACCAGGCTAGAGTGCAGTGGTGCCATCTCGGCTCACTACAACCTCCGCCTCCTGGGTTCAAGCGATTCTCCTGCCTCAGCCTCCCGAGTAGCTGGGACTACAGGTGCCCACCACCACGCCCAGCTAATTTTTGTATTCTTAGTAGAGACGGGGTTTCACCTTTTGGCCAGGATGATCTCGATCTCCTGACCCCGTGATCCACCTGCCTCAGCCCCCCATAGTGCTGGGATTACAGGCGTGAGCCACCGCACCCGGCCTAAATTTTTTAAGACAGGGTCTCTCTCTGTCACCCAGGCTAGAATGCAGTGGCACCTTCACCTCTCACTGTAGCCTTGACCTCTTGGCCTGAAGTGATCCTTCCACCTCAGTGTCACGATCCCGAGTACCTAAGACTACAGGCTCATACCAAGATATCTGGATATTTTTACTTTATTTATTTATTTATTTATTTATTTATTTATTTATTTATTTTTGTTTATTTATTTATTTTTTGAGACGGAGTCTCGCTATGTCACTCAGGTTGGAGTACAGTGACACGATCTTGGCTCACTTCAATCTCAGCCTCCCAGGTTCAAGTGTTCCTCCTGGGTTCAAGCAATTCTCCTGCCTCAGCCTCCCATGTAGCTGGGATTACAAGCGTGTGACACCATGCCCAGCTAATTTTTGTATTTTTAGTAGAGACGAAGTTTCACTGTGTTGGCAAGGCTGGTCTTGAGCTCCTGACCTCAAGTGATCTGCCCATCTCAGCCTCCCAAAGTGCTAGGATTACAGGCATGAGCCATTACGCCCAGCCTATTTTTTAATTTTTTGTAAAGAAGAGATCTCATTATGTTGCCCAGGCTGGTCTTGAACTTCTGAGCTCAAGTGATCCTCCCACCTCATCCTCCCAAAGTGGTGGGGATTACAGGTGTGAGCCACCACGCATGACCTTTTTGTTTTTTAAGACAGGACCTCGCTCTGTTTCCCAGGCTGGAGTACAGTGGTGCCATCATAGCTTACTGCAGCCTTGAACTCCTGGGGTCAAGCCATCCTCCTGCCTCAGCCTCATGAGTAGCTGAGACTACAGGCATGCAACACCACACCTGGCTAGTTTTTTAAATTTTTTGTGGAGACGGAGTCTCACTATGTTGCCTAGGCTGGTCTTGAACTCCTGGCCCCAAGCCATCCTCTCACCTTGGCCTCCCAACTTGCTAGGATTACAGATACGAACCACCAAACCTGGCCAAAAAAAAAATCCTAGAGGTTAAGGTTTATCTACATTTCCCCTATTGATAAGCATCTTTTAAACAAGTGAATACAGAACTGTTCCAAGTATTTGTCAGTGGGAGGCTACTTTCCTCACATTATCAGTTCACTTAAAGCTGGAAGCTGACTGGGATGTTCTGTCTGATTTGCATGAGGGCCACACTAAAATTGATTCTACCTTTCTTCTTTTATTTTAGAACGAGATGGCTATTTATGAATTCATTCATAACTTTGTGGAAGTTTTAGATGAGTATTTCAGCCGAGTGGTAAGTCTAATGGCTAAAAAATGGTTTACTTCCTCAACCCAGTTTCCCAGAAATTGAGTCTCTTTGGACCTATATCAAGAACATGTGTTAGGCCGGGCACGGTGGCTCAAGCCTGTAATCCCAGCACTTTGGGAGGCCGAGGCGGGCGGATCACAAGGTCAGGAGATCGAGACCACAGTGAAACCCCGTCTCCACTAAAAATACAAAAAATTAGCCGGGTGCGGTGGCGGGCGCCTGTAGTCCCAGCTACTCAGGAGGCTGAGGCAGGAGAATGGCGTGAACCCAGGAGACGGAGCTTGCAGTGAGCCGAGATCGCGCCACTGCACTCCAGCCTGGGCAACAGCGTGAGACTCCGTCTCAAAAAAAAAAAAAAAAGAACATGTGTTAATACAGAGTTTTAATAAGTAAAAATTAAAACTTAAGTGATGCCAAATTTTCTTTATCTTTTCTGCTGGTTTATCCAAAGTATTACAAGCCTATATATGCCTGAGATCTTTATAAAGAACTGGAAAAAAAAAAAAAACCCTCTTACAGCCGGCGCCGTGGCTCACGCCTGTAATCCCAGCACTTTGGGAGGTGAGGCGGGCGGATCTGAGGTCAGGAGATCGAGACCATCCTGACTAACACAGTGAAACCCCGTCTCTACTGAAAATACAAAAAACTAGCCGGGCGAGGTGGGGGGCGCCTGTAGTCCCAGCTACTCGGGAGGCTGAGGCAGGAGAATGGCGTGAACCCGGGAGGCGGAGCTTGCAGTGAGCCGAGATCGCGCCACCGCACTCCAGCCTGGGCGACAGAGCGAGACTCATCCCAAAAAAAAAAACAAAAAACAAAACAAAACAAAAAAAACCCTCTTATTTGTTTTCACCCAATTATGAGCTTTTGTGATCTGACTTGCCCCCTCTTTTCTTCTTCCTCTGCTTTCTTTTCTTTTTTTTTCTTTTTCTTCTTTTTCTTTTCTTTTTTTTTTTTTTTTTTTTTTTTTTTTTGAGATGAAGGACAGAGTTTCGCTCTTGTTGCCCAGGCTGGAGTGCAGTGGCGCGATCTCGGCTCACCGCAACCTCCACCTCCTGGGTTCAAGTGATTCTCCCGCCTCGGCCTCCCGAGTAGCTGGGATTATAGGCATGCGCCACCACGCCCAGCTAATTTTGTATTTTTAGTAGACCCGGGGTTTCTCCGTGTTGGTCAGGTGGGTCTCAAACTCCCGACCTCAAGTGATCCGCCCGCCTCCGCCTCCCAAAGTGCTGGGATTACAGGCGTGAGCCACCGCGCCTGGCCCCGGCTGCCTTCTTTCCTAAGACACCAGGATACTTTTCACTTCAAGAATCATTCCCATCCAAACCCTTGTTTTGAGGGTCAAAAGTCAGTTCTCCTTAAGGAATATGTGAGCTCCTTTCCAAAAATCTTTTTGAAGCCATTTTAATAGCTATATTGAAATATATTTTATGTATAATACAGTTCACCCATTTAAAGTGTATAATTGGCCGGGCGTGTGGCTCACGCCTGTAATCCCAACACTTTGGGAGGCTGAGGCGGGTGGATCACGAGGTCAGGAGATGGAGACCATCCTGGCTAACATGGTGAAACCCCCTCTCTACTAAAATACAAAAAGTAGCCGGGCGTGGTGGCCAACGCGTATAGTCCTAGCTACTCGGGAGGCTGAGGCAGGAGAATGACGTGAACCCGGGAGGGAGACTCCGTCTCAAAATAAATAAATAAATAAAAGTATATAATTAAGCTGGGTGTAGTGGCAAGCACCTGTAGGGACAGATACTCAGGAGGATGAGGTGGGAGGATTTTAGGAAATTTCATCTCTTGACAAGGAAACATACCCATTAGCATTTCCCCTCATTATCCCCCTCCACCCACACCAGGTAACTAGTGATCTATCTTTTTTTCTTGGTAAGTTTTTTATTTTTATTTTTTATATTGATACATAAGAGATGTAGATATTTTCATGATACTTGTGATAATTTGATTCATTCATATAATGTATAAAAACCAAATCAGAGTAATTAGGATCTCCATCACCTTAAATATTTATATTTTCTTTATGTTAGGAACATTCAAATTATTCTCTTAGCTCTTTTGAAATATACAATAGATTATTGTTAACCATAGTCACCCTACTGATTTATCAAACACTAGGTCTTATTTCTTCTTTTTTTTTTTTTTTTTGGAGACGGAGTCTCGCTCTGTCGCCCAGGCTGGAGTGCAGTGGCCAGATCTCAGCTCACTGCAAGCTCCGCCTCCCGGGTTTACGCCATTCTCCTGCCTCAGCCTCCCGAGTAGCTGGGACTACAGGCGCCTGCCACCTCGCCCGACTAGTTTTTTGTATTTTTTAGTAGAGAAGGGGTTTCACCGTGTTAGCCAGGATGGTCTCGAACTCCTGACCTCGTGATTCTCCCGTCTCGGCCTCCCAAAGTGCTGGGATTACAGGCTTGAGCCACCGCGCCCGGCCAGGTCTTATTTCTTCTATCTAATTGCGTATTTGCACCCATTAATCTACCTCTCTTCATTTCCTCTTTCCTCTTCCTTTCCCAGCTTTTGGTAACCACCAATTTACTGTCTATCTTCATGATATGTACTTTTTTACTTCCCACATGAATGAGAACATGTGATATTTGTCTTTCTGTGCCTGGCTTATTTCACTTAACATAATGACCTTCAGTTCCATATGTGTTTCTGCAAATGATAGGGTTTTATTCTTTTTTATGGCTGAATAGTATTCCATTATGTATATATACCATATTTTCTTTATCCATTCATTCATTGATGGGTGCTTTGGTTGATTCCATATTTTGGCTATTGTGAACAGTGCTACAATAAACATTGGACTGCAGACATCTCTTCAATGCATTGATTTCCTTTCTTTTGGATATATACCTAATCTACTTTCTGTCTCTATAGATTTGTCTGTTCTAGATATTTCATATAAATATAATTGTACAACATGTGATTTTGGTGTGACTGGCTTCTTGCATTGAGTGTAGTGTTTTCAAGAGCCATCCATGTTGTAGCATATATCAATACTTCTTTCCTTTTTCTTGCCAGATGATATTCCATTGTATGGATGGATATACCAAATTTTTTTTATCCATTCATCAGTTGGTAGACATTTGAGTTATTTCCAGTTTTTGGCTATTGTAAATAATGCTTATATGAACATTCGTGGACACATTTTTGCATAGAACCATGCTTTCGGTTCTCTTGGACTACCTAGGAGTGCGATGTGGTAACCCCATGTTTAGCATTTTGATGAACTGCCAAACTGTTTTCCAAAGTGTTGGTGTGATTCAAAGTCCCATCAGGAGTACATGAGGGTTTCAATTTCTCCACATCCTCACCAAAACTTGTTATTATCTGTCTTTTATATGATAGCCATCCCGGTAGATGTAAAGTGGTACAGAGGCCAATGAATTGTAGGTGTCATTTGTGTTTCACTAATGGATAAGGATGTTGAGCATCTTTTTATATGTGTATTAGCCATTTGTCTATCTTCTTGGGAGAAATGTCTGCTCAAATCCTTTGCCCATTTTTAAATTGCATTATTTGTTATCTTATTGTTGAGTTGCAGGAGTTCTTTATATATTCTGAACACAAGTCCCTTATCAGATACATGATTTGAAAATATTTTCTCCCATTCATATGTAAAGATTCAATTATTCCAACATCATTTGTTCAAAAGACTGTTTTTTTCCCCCAATGAATTGTCTTGGCACCCTTATCAGTAAATCAATTGGCCATAAATGCAAGTGTTTATTTCTGGCCTCTCACTTTTGTTCCATTGATCTCTATGTCTAGCTTACATCAGTAGCACACTCTCGATTTCTGTAGCTTTATAGTAAGTTTGAAACTCACCAGTCTTTTAAAAAAGAATCAGCAAAGGTGTTTTACTTTGCTGCCGTAGGCCTTCCTGAGCTTTAGTTAGATATTCTTGAGAAGTAGCAGTGGTACAAGCTTTTTTTTTTTTTTTTTTTGAGATGGAGTTTTGCTCTTGTTGCCCAGGTTGGAGTGCAATAGCGTGATCTCGGCTCACCACAACCTCCGCTTCCCAAGTTTAAGCAATTCTCATGCCTCAGCCTCCCAAGTAGCTGGGATTACAGGCATGTGCCACCACACCTGGCTAATTTTTGTATTATTAGTAGAGACAAGGTTTCTCCTTTTTCCATGTTGGTCAGGCTGGTCTCGAACTGCCAACCTCGGGTGATCCACCCACCTCAGCCTCCCAAAGTGCTGGGATTACAGGCGTGAGCCACCACACCCCGCTAGCGCAAGCTTATTTTTTAAAGTTGTTTCATTTAATTTCGTATTTAAATAAAAACAATTAAGGAATTGTTTCCAAGCTTCTTCCTGAGGCAGTGAGCAGAATGTGCTCCCTAATTAGTAATACTGTGTGCACTAAAACCCGGAAAGGGCAAAACGTAGATTAGGAAGTTATGTCTTCAGCCCACCTCCTAATGCCAGAAGTGAGGTTTGGCAAACTCCTTCTTCATGGGACAGTCAGCTAGCCTGTCTTCATCGTCTTAGTGCAACCGTTCTCAAAGTCTGATTCCTGGACCATTAGCATAAGTTGTGAACTTGTTAGAAATTCAAATTCTGGGCCCTACCCCAGACCATTGCATCTGAAGCTCTAGGTTGAGGCCCAGAAATCTGGTTTAAGAAGGCTTCCAGGTGATTCTGATATATGCTTAATTTTGGTAATCACTGCCTTAGTGCATGAGGCTTGCTGTCAGCGTTTTTGGTTTTTTTCTTTTTTTTTTTGAGATGGAGTTTCGCTCTGTCAATCTTGGCTCACTGCAACCTCCGACTGCCTGGTTCAAGCAATTCTCCCGCCTCAGCCTCCCGAGTAGCTGGGATTACAGGCACGTGCCACCACACCCAGCTAATTTTTGTATTTTTAGTAGAGTCGGGGTTTCACCATGTTGGCCAGGATGGTCTTGATTTCCTTACCTCTTGATCCGCCTGCCTCAGCCTCCTAAAGTGCTGGGATTACAGGCGTAAGCCACCGCGCCTGGCCGCTGTCAGCCTTTTCTTGATTCAAGAGTTGGTGTTGGGAACATGCCTAGTGGTCTGTGATGTGGTGATGCCTCTGGCCAGGAAGGGGCTGGTGCCTTCCAAAGCCGAAAGAGACCAAGAGGTGGTCATTCCAGAGACTGGCCTTAGAGGACAGAGGACATGGAGACTGGCTTTAAAATCTATCTCTGTGTTGATTGCTTGGCAAGACATAGACCAGCACTATTCAGTAAAACTTTCTGCAGAGATAGGAATGTTCTGTACCTGTGCCATCCAGTACAGTAGGCATTAGCCAGATGTGGCTCTTGAGCACTTGCAATGCAGTTAGTATAACTGAGGAAATGAAGTTTTAATTTTACTTAATTTAAATCTCCACATGAGGCTGGTGTTTACCATATTGGACAGCATAGCTCTAGCTTCTCTTTACCTTGTGATGACCACTTTCTTGTTTAGATGGACTAGTTGCAAGTCAGGGTCTATGATCAGAGCTGACTATGATTAGCCATTTCAAGGTGACACCCACCAAGAAGAATATAATTTCCCAAAATAATAATGTTCTAAGCCTAGGAGAATAAAAAGTGGGTACAAGTACTATCATTGCTAAAGTTTTTAAAATTATTATATTCAGTAACTAAGAATAAATAGCATATTACGGAATTATAGGTACAATTTTAGGGAGAGTCAGTGACCACATAAACCACAAAAGTAAAGATTAGAATTTAATTTCAGTTAGGTGATTCTGCAGGACTTGGACGGTACATACTAAGGGACGACTTGGCTTAGGATCAAACCATAGCAAAAAGAAGAAGAGGAAGAGGGAAAAGAGCACTATGGGAAAGAAAACGGGATCTGTCCCCCTCACAGAGACAGCCTTGTCATGTAAGATTTATTTTTAGGTTTGTGAATTTTAAACATTCTTTCTGTGGCTATTTTTAATCTTTGAGAATTTCCAAATCTTAAATTTGGAGATCAGTCTCATGCTGTCTGGGGCTGAGAGAAGCATCTCAGCATCACATTTCTAAAACAAAAAGCCAACCCAGTTAGCTTCAAAGGATGCGACTTGGCCAGAGGTGAGGGTGGTTGCTGTTGAAGAAGTGATATCAGGGAATTTTCAGTGCTGCATTTGACAAACCTTAAGTCCTTTCATATTTGAACTTAATTCTCTTTACTTTTTTCTTCCTCCATACTTTTTTCACTATATAAATATCTATTTTATTTTATTTAAAAAATTTTAAAACATATAAGCAAAGAGAAAGAGGAAAGCGAATACATGTAATTATACATTTGTCTAAACCCATAGAACGTACACCACCAGAGTGAACCCTAATGTAAACTGTGGACTTTGGGTGAGAATGGTGTAGGTTTGTCAGTTTTAACAAATGTACCACTGTGGTGGGGAATGCTGATCATAGGAGGAGGCTGCACATTCGGAGGGACACGGGGGATGGGATGTCTGTGTACCTCCCCCTCAGTTTTGCTCTGAACCTAAAACTTGCTCTTTAAAAAGTAATGTATTTTTTGGCCAGGCGTGATGGCTCACACCTATAATCCCAGCACTCTGGGAGACTGAGGCAGGTGGATCGCTTGAGCTCAGGAGTTCAAGGCCAGCCTGGGCAACATGGCAAAACCCCGTCTCCACAAAAAAATACAAAAATTAGCCAGGTGTGGTGGCGCACACCTCTAGTCCCAGCTACTTGGGAGGCAGAGGTGGAAGGATCACTTGAACCCAGGAAGCGGAAGTTGCAATGAACCAAGATCATGCCACTGCACTCCAGCCTGGGTGACACACTGACTCAAAATAAATAAATAAAGACTTTCTCGAAATAAATAAATAAAATAGATTTTTTTAAGTGAGAAGAAGATCATCAGTAAGCCCATCAGTTACTGATAACTGCTGTTAGGTACATTTCCTTTTAGACTTTCTATGTCTGTCTGTAGCTATATAACCATATATATCTTGATCTGTATACATGCATACATAGGATAATACTATGTATGCATTTTGTAACTTTTTATAACAATATGTGAGTGCTTATATTTCTACATTGTCATTTGTGGATATGCTACGGTTTACTTAGTTCCCCTCCTTGATAGATATTTAGGTTATTATCAATAATTTGCTATTACAAGCACCATTACCCTGAATATCCTGTCATATATCATTGTGCCATTGTCTAATTTTTTCCTTGGGATAAACTCCTAGAAGTAACATTAGTGGATTCAAAGGTGTGGCACATTGTTACATCTCTGATACAAACATCAAATTACCTACATCTGTAAAGGTTGAGTTAGTTTCTTTTTCCCTCTGCTTTCTAAAGATGAATGGTACTGGCCTGTAAAATTCCTTTGAACTACAGCCTATTTTTAAAAAAATTACAGTCCCAAACTCAGGGCCTTGGCAGAGTCAGACTGCTGTGGCCTCCAAGCCCAGAAGCAGGTAGGAGAGGCCACTGCTATGGATGCAGAAGCCTCTTCAGTCTGACTCTGCTAAGAGCAACGGGTCCCAATGTCTTTGTTCTCACCCTTGCACTCTTTTTCTCTCTTCCAGAGTGAATTAGACGTATCCTTTTTCAATACTGTTTTCCACGGTACTTGGCAAGCGCACTCTAGTCCTTATCAGGTAAGTGCCACGGAGCAGGAAAACTATTCAGCAGTCCAGAGTGTTCATCACCAACAGCCATGACAAGACAGCCGGAGGTGTGGGTGTTCTGCAGAACTGCTCCCCCACCTCGTCCCCCTTCTTCAACAAGACAATTCTTTGTTTTTTCTTTTTGAGATGGAGTTTCGCTCTTCTTCCCCAGGCTGGAGTGCCATGGCGCAATCTCTGCCCACTGCAACTTCCACCTCACTTCAACCTTTGCCTCTTGGGTTCAAGTGATTCTCCTGCCTTAGCCTCCTGAGGCATTACAGGCGCCCACCACCACGCCCAGCTAATTTTTGTATTTTTAGTAGACACGGACAGGGTTTCACCATGTTGGCCAGGCTGGTCTCCAACTCCTGACCTCAGGTGATCCACCCACCTTGGCCTCCCAAAGTGCTGGGATTACAGGCGTGAACCACTGTACTTGGCAAGATGACTCTTAAGATTTTTTTATTTTTTTTCAGGCAGGACAGCGCTATCATAGTAGTTAATAGCTACTATTTGTTAATTTAATTTCCTTTAAGCATATGGAATAGGCATTTTCAAAATTTAAATAACACAGCCAAAAAAGTGTTTAGTCCTCCTACAGAAACTGGATTTCCAGGGTTCCAGGTATAAATATCTAGAAATGCCCTACGTGACCAGATAAGGCCTTCAGTGTTGATAAACCGGAAGGTTAAAGAAATTGCCTGGCTTGTAATCATTGCTATCAAATGTATTCATTTCCTTGATAGCAGAGAAAGTTCTCCTTTTCTCGTTTTCTTCTGTCTCTTTTAAATCACAATATCCAAGTACCCTCAAAACAAGCATGATTTGCTTAGAGTACTGCAGGCCCCCAGATTTTGGCAGGAGCCCTTAGGCTTTGTGCCAGTGTTTGGGAGGCCAGCTAATTTTCAAGTTTATTTTTTACTTCAAAAATCTACCTACCACTTGAGTCCTTGAAGAACACATCAAGTTTCAATCTAAAATAGTAAATTAACTATAACAAATGTTATATATAAATATTTATATATATTAGAATATAACAACTATATACAAATTATAACAATATGTTTATGTGTATATATACATACACTTATTTGTATGTGTGTGTATGTGTGAGTACGTGCACAAACACACAGTCATTTTTCCACATTTTGCCAGAAATATTAAGTGGATGCAAAACTACTGGTTCTGGGCATAGTGTCTGATATGTATCATATGTGTGTATATATATATTTCTCATATATATATCATATATAAATGAGATATTTGTATTTTTAGTAGACACGGGGTTTCACCATGTTGGCCATGCTGGTCTTGAACTCCTGACCCTAGGTGATCCACTCACCTTGGCCTCCCAAAGTGCTGGGATTATCATATGATATCATATATCATATATATATGAGCCACTGTGCCCGACCATATATATATGGCAAATGTTTTTTGAGACGAAGTCTCGCTCTTGTCGCCCAGGCTGGAATATAGTGGTGCGATCTCGGCTCGCCGCAACCTCTGCCTCCCAGGTTCAAGCCATTATCCTGCCTCAGCCTCCTGAGTAGCTGGGATTACAGGCATGCGCCACCATGCCTGGCTAATTTTGTATTTTTAGTAGAGACAGGATTTCTCCATGTTGGTCAGACTGGTCTCAAACTCCCAACCTCAGGTGATCCACCTGCCTCGGCCTCCCCAAGTCCTGGGATTATAGGTGTGAGCCACCTCACCCAGCCAAAAAAAGTTTTTTTTAAGACAGAGTGTGTGTGTGTGTGTGTGTGTGTGTGTGTGTGTGTGTGTGTCTAATTTATATATTTTGTTTGTTTGTTTGTTTGTTTGTTGGAGACAGAGTCTCGCTCTGTCACCCAGACTGGAGTGCAGTGGCGTGATTGTGGCTCACTGCAGCCTTCGGCCTTCTGGGTTCAAGCGATTCTCCTGCCTCAGCCTCCTGAGTAGCTGGAATTACAGGCACCCGCTATCATGCCCAGGTAATTTTTTTTTTTTTTTTTTTTTATAGAGATGGGGTTTCACCATGTTGGCCAGGTTGGTTTTGAACTCCTGACCTCAGATGATCCACCCACCTCAGCCTCCCAAAGTGCTAGGATTACAGGTGTGAGCCACCGTGCCCAGCCTAATTTATAAACTTATAGATACACTTATATAAATGCCCAGAACCAGTATGTTTGCATCCACTTAATATTTCTGGGGAAATGGCTGTTTACTTGTTATTACTGATAGGAAATGTCGCCGTGTTGATAAAATTCGTTTTGTACACTGTAATTGGAAGCCTCTGTGAACTAACTGGGAAAATCTGAGTGCCCTCTAGTGGTGAGTGACCCAAATCTATGATCACTGTGACCTAGAAGGGATTATAGATCCCTTCGTAGGTTTTAGCATGCTGAATAAAAAGTGCCGTGATATACAGACCATGTTGTATATTATGGTGTATTTTCATTCAGCATGGTCTGTATATTACAGTTTGTTTTTATTCAACATGTAATATTCTATCTGAATTAAGCCATCCAAAGCAATTCAAAATAAATCTCTTCCTACTTGAACAAAGTACAAGTAGACAAAAAGCTTTTTGATTTAGACAGTCATCAGGAAGATAGCAAGGGCTAAAAGACACTTCACTGGGAGTAGAGAACTCAGTTTGCACTTTTGGTGTTGCCACTGACTAGCTGTGTGTATTGGACAAGGCACATAACCCCCTCGTCTTAAAATGAGAGAATGAAGACTGGAAGAGCTTTAACACCTGCTCAGCCTTAATAGTTGATGTTGCCATGACTTTAGGTAACTGAGCTGAGTTACCTTACATCTGAAACAGGAAGAGAGTTTTACAAGACTAGATATTGAGAGAGTTAACGTGACTCAGAGGTGAAGGGATATGTGTTCTAGTTGGATGAGTCGTGTTGATGTGTTGGATATTTACTAGATGTTTACTAGAAATAAAGATGGGGATACTTGTCTTTGTAGCCTTCTGGTGTGTAGTATAGGTCTATGTGATGAGCTCCAGCATTCTTGTTTGAATTACAATTTTACGCCAAGATATACAATTTTCCCTTCATTTTGCCTGGTTTCATTTTCACCCTCTCTTCCCCTCTAACCAAGTTATATATATTTACTGTCCTTAGGAATTACTTAGGCATATCCATCTGGCAAATTAGGAATTTTACATCATTTAGAGAAGGGAACTAAGTCTCTCTAGACCTGGAAGTTTACGTCTTTGCTCCAGATTTGATCTCACTTGTACTTCCAGTGGTCTAAAAGTGGAGCAGGCAGCAGAGAAGGGCATGCGCCCCCTCTTTTCTGTTGACACTTTTTTTTTTTTGAGATAGGCTCTTGCTCTGTCACCCAGGCTGGAGTGCAGAGGTGTGATCATGGCTCACTACACCCTGGATCTCCTGGGCTCAAGTGATCCTCCCACCTGAGCCTCCCAAGTAGCTGGCACTATGGGTACCCAACACCATGCCTGGCTAATTTTTTTAATTTTTTTTTTTTTGTGGAGATGGGGTCTCACTCTGTTGCACAGGCTGGTCTCAAACTTCTGGGCTGGAGCAAGCCTCCTGCCTTGGCCTCCCAAAGTGTTGACATTCTTAAAAGATTACCACCCTTAGCCATCTGAAAAATATCTAATTAAAAACCCATGACTCTTCTCTGCTTCATACGTAGTCCTTTTTAACCATCACATGTCCAAGGAGGACCTCTGCAGACTGGTTACACAGCAGAAAGACAAGGGGACCTTATCAAGGCTCGGCTGCGGTTCCTGCTCCATCTGGGGAGGGTGTAGGCATTCTGCATCACTGTGTGGTAGCATGTAGCCAGGCACCTCCTGGAGCAGCCAGCAGTGCTTATATCCACTCTGCCAGGAAAGCTCCCTTAGGCCTTAAAAGGTTAAAAACAAGCAAACTGCTATAATGGCTACCTAGATTTGGTCCTTCGACTGCTAACGGTACATAATCTTGTTTGTATTTGCTCAGGCTTAAGAAAGCCCTCCTTGTCAGCCCACATGGGACAGATGTAGTTAAAGCTTGGTTTTGGCACAGGAGAAGGAAGTCAAAACCTCATAAATTCCCAGGAAGCCCCGTCTTTTTCTCCAGAGGCTTTTCCCCCTGATTTTTTAAGGCTAGGGAAGTTTCCGAGAACCTGTACAGTTAGACTTAGAGAAATACAGTGCACCATTTACATTTCTCCCTAGTATGGACTTGTTCTACTTCTAGTAAGGCTGACATCACAGAGCAAGACAGATTGGATTTTAAAAAGAAATGACCTAAGCATAAGAAATCAGGACAGCAACTCTGGCTTGCTGAAAGTCTTCCAGTTAGTGGAAACCCTCTGGTGCAGTGGTGTCAGGTGGGGCGGGCTGCCCCCTCGGGACCAAGCCCGTCAGTGACCTAAATCATTCACGTGCTATGAATACACTCCTGTGCACTCTTCAGTTCCACTTCTCCCACCCGGCTGCAGTGAGGCCTGAAGATTCGTGAAGCCTGTTTCTATAGGGAGAGTTTGCCCCATCACATACCTTGGTAGATTTATTTAAGACTTCAAATTTCGGCCGGGCGCAGTGGCTCAAGCCTGTAATCCCAGCACTTTGGGAGGCCGAGATAGGCGGATCACGAGGTCAGGAGTTCGAGACCATCCTGGCTAACACGGTGAAACCCCTTCTCTACTAAAAAATACAAAAAAACTAGCCGGGCGAGGTGGCGGGCGCCTGTAGTCCCAGCTACTCGGGAGGCTGAGGCAGGAGAATGGCGTAAACCCGGGAGGCGGAGCTTGCAATGAGCTGAGATCCGGCCACTGCACTCCAGCCTGGGCGACAGAGCCAGACTCCGTCTCAAAAAAAAAAAAAAAAAAAAAAAAGACTTCAATTTTATGAATTAAGGTGGTTTTTTTAGGAACCAATTGATGAACTTCACAAAATATGCTCAGCCCTGGAGCCCCAGCAG